AAAAAAAAAAAAAAAAATGAAACACAAAATTCACCAAAAAGTTGAGCCTGTCCACGTGGCATTGCAAGAGGGCTCCCAACGCAAGAGGGCTCCCAACTCCCGTTTATTAGATGTAGAGGGAATTTTTTAAAACGTGACGCGTCCCGTTTTGGTTTGTATATTGCGTAAATAATTTTGCCTGTTGCGTACGCTATTTGAATATAAAATATTACTAATCCAACAACCGTGTATGTTAAAAAATTATTCTTAAATTTTAAAATTTAATGATAGAAAACTAATTTACATTTTATTTATTTTTTCTTACAAAAATATATATATTATTATCTGTTTTATAATGACACATGTTACTTGTGCATTTACATGTGTTATATTATAGTAATATTTATAAATTATATCATATAACTATATACTAAATTATAAATAATTTTATTTTTCTAATTAATATTAAAAACAATTATATTATTGTTATGAAGATAAATATAATTTATTTTTTTTTATACATACAATATGAATTTGAAATCGAAGCTCACCGAGAGATGACTAATTTGATATATTATATATGTGAAACTGATAAAAAGTATAAAATTTTTTGACTTTTAAAATACACTTACAATTCAATGGTTATAATCCTCCCTATATATAATTCCCGAATGCGCTGAGCCTACCTGGCTGCTTCTGGTGCTTCGGAATCCTATTTGGCGAAGAATCATGCTTCGTAATTAGGTTTGGACAAATAATATTGATATATTAATAATTAATAATCTAGGTTCGGGTATTCCATAAATATTATTTAGCTAACTTAGGTATTTTAATATATATAAAAAAAACTTAGGTATTTTAATATCACTTTTACTAATATAACCCTTTAATTCTTTGTAATTTTAGATAGTGAGGCACTAAGTGACTAATATATCTCTAAATTTTGATTTGCTTCCTTCAATAAGTTATTGATTTATAAATGTATTTTAAAAGTAGATAACTTTTGTATTTCTTATTGGTTTTATATATACAATATATCAAATTAATCATATTTTGATGATCTTCGATTTGACATCCATATTGTATATATAAAATAAATATTTATCTTTATAATAATAAAAAATAATAATATTATTAAAATTCATTAGAAAAATAAAATTATTTCTCAATTGATATATTTATATTTAATGTAGTTATATATTGTAAGTTCAAAATTTTGTATAAAGGAGTTACTTGCATAAATTTTTAAATACAAAAGAGACAAAAAAAAATTTGAATAAACAATAAATCGGTTTTATAATGAACCAACAAAACATAATAAATATATATATGAACTAAATTATTAATCAATGTGGAAATTTTATTAATCAACAAAACATATAATAATAAAACATAATAAAACATAATGTTTTAGGAGAACCGATAAACTAATGAACTAAGCAATATTTCCACAAATAAAAAGTATCATAATAAATATATAATAATATATATATTATTATAAAAAGTATTTAATTTTCTAACTACTTTTTCTCATTAATTTTAAATTTTAAGAAAAAAATTAGCGAACAGCCGTGTAATACACGGGCGTTGTACTAGTAAGAAATGATATTAAAATGCAAACAATATATGTAACATGACCATAAATAATCAACATATTTATGGATAATTCGGACCTAATTATTTTTGGATTAGAAGTAAATTAAAATCTACCCCAGCCTAATAACGAAACATGTAATTTGCCACATAGGATTCCGAAAGATGCGAATTTGCCACTTAGACTCAGTACGTTTTGAATTAATATATATGGGGAAACAAGGGAGGACACGCTATAAAGCGGCCTAGAGATCCCACATACGGGATAAAACAACCAACTAAAATACATGCCACAAACTACACCACTGCCGAGGCCTAGTGTAGAACAAAACAACAAACAACTACAGAAGAAAAAGAAAACCAAAGGACCTAGAACACAAGGAAAAAAACATAAACACTGACTGCATTAGAAAACAGAAACAGAGAACTCAAGCCAATCTCTAGAAGCATCTGAAACAGCAACTCTTGGTGGCAGGTGTGCAGCCTCAAAGATCCACAAGTTGCGAGATTTTCAAAATCACCACAGAAGATAAGTGGTGAGTTGAATGCGAGCTTCTGCAACCTCTGTGTGGCCAATGGAACAGATTCGCCACCACCAGTCACAGAGCTTTAGAGAGTTAGTATCAATACCATCCCACTGAATAAGGCTGAGTGTTCGCCTAAATTTTTAAAGCTCGACCGCAAGTGTACGGCTTCGCTCGTAGTATGCGGCAAGCAAGGTCGTATCCCAAGAGACCAAATAATTAATATATGAAGTACAAGATTATGATAGTGGCAACTTTATTTAGACGACCGAATATGAGATTGATTAACTAAACTAAGAAAATAAATGAAAGGAAATAAAGCAAAAATAAAGAACTAGCTAGATCAACACGTGAGAAAATATATGGGAACGATAGATTCTAAGACGTTGGGTTCAATTAATAGTTAGGATTCCTTCAAAAATATCACAACTAAATGTTTTCTTTATCTACCCTATAAGATGATCACAAATTTAGCATATCGTCCCTCTCGAGAACGATAAAACTGTAGATTAAATCACATATATTAGCGTCTCCACTCAACACATGCAATTCAACTCCAAAAAGATTAAAAGACCCAAAATCCTCACAACTATCTACTAATCTCTCGATTCAAGAAAATAATTTGTGTCAAATATTAAAGATCTAATATTGAACTCATCTCTCGAATTATGAACAATATCATCAAACATGTAAAAGCAGTGGCCAATTGCAATTCACGAAATAAGAACAAAATATTTGAATAGGGTTCAAAAGAAAAACAAATAATGATAAAAAAATCATCCAAAATTCCAACATATTAATCTACTACCATGTCTTAGAATCAAAGAAATTTAACTACTCATGTTTGG